TCATCACTTTCGTATTCAATATTACCTTAGCCTTTTGTATTATTTACAGGCACCCCGGTTGGTTTTTGTTCCAAATTTCGATGGGCCAAATGTCATAGTGCAGTCATCAATACCCACTCCCGATTAAATTCTAAAAGTAACTGACAGGTGGAAAAAGGTATATAAATAAGAAAGGGGTTTTTCGGATACTCGATATATAAATGCTCATCTAAGCTTTTTCGGAGTATTTTAATTGATTGACTCCGTTTAATGAATTGTCTGTATTCTTCGTTCGACATAATACAAAATGTTTAGTTTTGTCCAAAAGTAATAATTTCACTGTTTTGTTTTCAAATGCGAAATGATTTTTTCGCGGGTTCGAATTGGTTTCTTGACGAAATGAAAGCATGCTTTCCACTTGTCATATCCATTTGAACTGATTATCCCTCTCGGGCTTCATCTTCACGCACAATTCTCACTCAGTTTATCGATTCAATAAAACGCTTGGAAGCACTGTGGTCTACTCGAGTTTCACTCTCATTGGTAATGCATAGTAGTTTATATCTACCTACCATTCCGTAAGGGCTTTGAACTCTGCAACCATTACATGGAGCACGCGTGTGTGTTATCACTGTGCCAAACAGCTCATACCATCAGAGCTGAACCGAATTGACAAATCAAGCATGTTCAGTCGTCACTTTCAGAGATGGTTGTGTTTGTTATATTATTATTATTATATTATCATTATCATTATTTAATTACTATTACCCTTCACGATAGTGATTCACTCGGACGATTTAACGAGCCTAGTCATGTGATTGCCTAATCGCCTTCCATAGTTCTTCAGAGCGAAAAAGAAGTTGATTTGTGCTCTCTACAGGATCATGAATAAAGCGAAAAAGTAGTGAATTCACTGAGAGATTCAGACATGGTTTCAGTATCGAGATAATAAAAAAATAATACTGAATGTTTGACTAACTCGGATGCAAAGTAAGTGTTTCTCATGGCCAATACAGTACGATCAAGCATTTGGGAAGAACTGATTTGAAGTGAGCCTCGGAGTGTGATCTGCACCCCCATCTCAATCCCCTACTCACGTAAATCCGAAGTCCAGTTTGTATTGNTGTATTGTTCTTTAGTATGAAGTATGTACAAGTTTGTAGTAGTTGGAGGATCTTCTACTCTTTGCAGACACTCGATTATCCACAACAATTCCTAGTCAATGACAAGGAGTGAGCGAGAGAGACAAAGTTGGAGGGTCAGGTGGGGTGGGGTGGGGTGGCGAATGAACTCTGACACAAAGATTTGAGTTCATTCCGGGAAACAGAACCTCGTTTTACAAACTGTCAACAATTGATTAGCCAATCCGGATGTACAAAACGGATGTACAAGACGTGGGTCCAAAAACCCCCGATTCCCATTGGAACTTCTTTTACTCCTATCACAACCGTTCACACCATTCGTATCCGCAGTTTAGAACTGTTTGATTGAATTCCGTCATTGTCGTGCCAAAGAATGGGAACGAGCAACAGATACGGCTGTTTAGAAATAAATTCTCAGGCAATTTCAGAGTGATTTCGGAGGCCGGAGGTTTCAAATTGACATTCATTCGCGTCAAGCATACACGCACAGACCGTGTTCGTCACCCCCAATTTGCTCGTGATATCGCCTATGGCCCTCATAAATCACGTTCTATCTGAGGCTGGGAGAGAGAGAGAGGGTGATCGCGTTCTCGCACCCAAGAACTGCACTCAAACATTGCATTTATTGCAACATCTAACGCGACCATGAATGAACTGATGAATCACGGGCATTTAGCTAGTTGATCTACGGGACTGACTATAGTAAAGCTGTGCATTTCCAATCCAATAAGATTAGATGTCCCCCGTGGAGTCGGCTTTCTGTGAACAATATGTGATTGACCTTGCCGTACACTTTTGGAAAAACTTTAACAAGGGCATGGTCTGAAGATCCAAGAGGGGAAGATGCGGGAAGATGCGAAAAAATACTGGTCATATTTGTCTAATTGAGCGTTTAGTCTTGTTCGGAAGCTCACTATGTTTGTCAAACCCAGAACAGACAGGAAGCTGATATCAACACAGTTGAAATTAACACAGATGATACATAGAGATAAATTAAGATGACTCATTAAATAAAGAAGCGAACAACACAGGTTTGCACAATGTATCCTGGATCATTTCGCCGAGG